CCACCCGAGATTGTCTGCTTCCTCTGCAGGAGGCGGCTCGGCGAAGGGAGGCCTTCGAGAGCGGCGAGTGGTTCCAGCGGAGGCCCCGGCGCCACCACCCCCCCGGGCCGCGGGTGCAGAACGCCGACGGCGAGCTGCCGTACAGGGAGCAGTTGGAGCTCTTCGACCCGAAGCGGCGGCAGTCGAGCGCGGCGGTCAGGGGCAACGATAGGGGCGCAGGCTCTCGGTCGGTTTCGATTTGAGGCTCTAGGTCTTCGGTCGTCTTCGTCGGTTCGCGGCGGAGTTTCCAGCCTCGGGCTGCTTCCCAGAAGCTGCGCCTCGTCGAGGGCGTGAGTATTTTTGGGCATCTTTTGAATAGTTTTTCGACTATTTTTTTTTTCGTCCAAGATCCCCCTGTAGGGGGACAGGCCCGACCTAAGGATTGGTATAAGGCGGGGAGGTGCATCGACCCCCAACCGCCCATGGATCGCCGATAGGGGCCCGAGAGCCCCAACCTGCCCGGGAACGTGCGGATTCATTATCGGAGGCCTATCGCCGATCCGTCGGCGATGCATCGCCGATATCAGGTCGATGTTTCCCCCCTGCCCCTCTTCCCTCCCCCGGTCGTTGCCCCTCAGGCGGAGGGCCCAGCGGAGGGCCCCTTTCTGCCCGAGGAGGAGCCGGCTGCACGCAAGAGCGACCCTCCGTGGAGTCGGCCCGGGGTCCCCTGAGGTGGCCCGGCATTGGATGTCGGTCGCAAGTCATGGGGGCCTGGTGTACCTTTCCAAGTCCGTCTTTAGCGTCGGCTAGCCTCGGCTAGCGTCTGGGAGTCGATGAGATAGCGCCGATTTAGCGTCGGTCAGCGTCGACGAGCGTCGATTCAGCGTCGAATAGCGTCGACTAGTGTCGATCAGCGTCGACTCGCGTGAGCCGACAAGATGGTATGGGAGGCTCCCACGAGTTGCCACCGGATTGGCTCTGATGGGCAGGAGGGTGGGGCGAGGTTCGAGGTTCTGGGTTCGACGAGGTTGTTGCCTGTTTCGGCCCCTGGGGACCGCTTCCAGGCCACAGGACCGCCTGGAAATGCCTGGGGTGAACCACTGCACCAGGTGGACCCTGGGAGGGGTCCCTGGGACCGAGTTTGAGCGGATTTGCCCTTACAGTCGGGGCCCTGAAGAAGGAACCCTTTTCGTTGGGGAGGGGCTCCGCGTTCCTTATGTGTTTCGCAGCTTGCCTTGGATTCTCTTTAGGTTTTCGATACGAAATCGAAGTTCAACGTATGGAAAATAGGGGCCTCGTTCCTTATTTAGGGTTCCTTAGGTCAACGCCTCGACTGTACGTACCTTCTTGATAGAAGTTCTCGGGGCCCAGCCAGTTCAGACCCCCCGGCCGCCTCCGAGAGATCGTTTGGTGCGGGCTTTTAGGGGCCCCCCGATCGCGGAGTGCGGTGGACCAGCAGCGCTTTGCGCTTCGGATTTGCCCCCCGCCCGCGTCGACGATCGACGCTCGGTCCATACCCCTCGTGCCGCTGCCCACTCTGGGCGCCAGGGGGGGCGGGGCATGGTTAACAAAAGGCGTGGCCCCTGTACGCCAGCATCTTCTCATGCGCGCCTGGGGAGGAAGTGAGCCGGGGCGGGCCTTCTCAGAAGCTTTAGCGTGACATCTGGCCTCCTGAGAAATTTCCGAAGCCTTCCCCAAACTTGTGGGAAGGTCTCTGGCCTTCTGAGAATTTTCGGAAGCCTTCCTCAAACGTTGGGGAAGTGTTCTCTGCCGTTGGGGCCCACAGGCAGAGAAGACTTCTCATAAGGTGCGCAGGCTTCGGAGAGGCCCCGCCGCCTCTTCGAGAAGGCCTGCTCCTTCTCGCTTCCCCCTTGGGCACGCCGCCGATCCGAGCTGCCGCTGGGGCCCCTCGTCGGAGTGAGTCGGGCATGCCCCTCTACAGGAGGGATATGCCAGATCCGTAACTAAAGCCATAGTATGGGGGCTGCTTTGTCGTGGTCTGCTGACTATGTTTGAACCTGTCTTGGCGGATCTCAATGCTTGATCCAAGATCCGCCTGTAGGATGACATGCCCGACCTAATCGTGGGGCCTGGGCGCAAGCAGGGGCATGGCTAACATGCCGATCCCCGACCGCGCTCCCGGACAGCCGCGCAGCGGATGCCCCCCCCTTGCCCACAAAGCGCCCCTCTCGGGCGTGTGCGGCCGGGAGCTGTGGCTCAGCCTGTCGCTCCGCCGGTGCTGGCCCACCGCGCCTCGACGCGGCGCGCTATGCACCTCCGGGCTGGACCTAGACGCTGTTTTGCTGGACTTCGGCTTGGTTTTGTTTCTCGTTCTGGCAGGGAGGCACAGGAAAACAGGGAGAGCACAGCGAAGACAAAACGAAAGCGAATGGGAACACGATGTTGAGGTCCAGCCCTGATGCACCGCCTGGTTCCCGAGCGTCCACGCCCCGAGCTGCTCCCAGCCGCCCGCCACGCGGAGCGGAGCCGCACGCTATCCTCAGCACACCCAGAGATGCTTACACCGGGGGAACGTGAGACTCCTGGCATCGCTCGGACGTGTGCATTTTTTCTCGGCGAGAACCATTGAGGACGATCCTGGACCATCGAGCAAAGAAAAACACGCACGAAACCGAAAAATGCACAGGAAATGGACGTCCGAGCGATGGCGAGGACTCGAGTGAGCCGGGACTCGTGCTGACCGACGCTTTGGTTGACGAGCGCGTCCTGGATCCTGACGGTCCGGTTTTCGTGGGATGTCTGCGGCGGGCGTTCGCGCCCAATTTCAGACTGGGCCTCGTCGTTTTCTTGATGGCCTTGGCCAGGCCAACCCGAGCCCCCCGTACGGTGGGGGCGTGCACGGGAGGCTTCAGACCCTGGAGGGTTGCTTCCCTGAGGGGGGCGGTGGCAACCTCCACTGCCGATGCGCGATTGGAGTTCCACCGGCTCCCAGGCCCTGGACTCCCTGCCAAACGCTTCCTCATCCAGCTTCTCTGAGGGGGGCGGCGGCAACATCCACTGCCGATGCGCGATTGGAGTTCCGCTGGCTCCCAGGCCCTGGACTCCTTGTCCAACGCTTCCTCATCCGGTCCCCCACCGTGCCCGCGTCCTACGCCTCCCCGATCCTGCTGCGTGCGCGTGCGGCCCGCGCTGGCCGACGCGCGCGCTCAGAGGTCTGCTCGCACGGGGGTCCGCTGCGGTCGCGCGCTGGCCGTGCAAAGCTCGGGGATCCATCGATGCTACGCGGGCTGTGTGCCATGCGGTCGCGGCGGACGTGCGCCTCCGACCTCAGCAGTTCGCGGCGGACGTGCGCCTCCGACCTCAGCACGCAGTATGCATCATGTTCGGTCGGTTCGCGTCGTGTCGACCAGCGGCGACCCTGCCGCCGGCGTTCCACGTTGAGTTCCTCCGGCGACCCGGACTCGGTCGATGCTGAACGATCTGACGTTTCGGGAACGGCCGATCGTTTGAGGTTGAACGCTCCCTGCGGTGTCAGGAACCAGCGCCGGGTCCGCCATCCGCTCGCAAGGCATAGCGTGTCGCCGGGGCCGCCGCCGCGACACGGCGGGGGGGGGCGTCACGTCATACCCCCCCCGCCCTCCCTCCCCCCCCCATGACGCCCGTCATCGCCGAACATAAAGAAACGCGCTCTAAGCTCGACGACACGTAAGAGTGGCTCATCGCCAGAGTGACCGCTTGGTGCGGGCTAGTCGGGGTCCCCCCGATCTTTGAGCGCGATGCGTTAGCGACTGCCTGCGCCCTTGGATTTGGCCGCCCTGCGCCCGCTCGATCCGCGCGCCGAAGGCCACTCTGCCTAGGGTCGCACTTGCGTGCAGCCGAGGAGCAGTCAGAGTGAGGGGGCCGAGCGCCCTGCGACCACGACGGACGACGACGACGACGACGACGACGACGACGACGACGACGACGACGACGACGACGACGACGACGACGGCGACGGCGACGCCGACGACGACGACGTGTCCGACCGCAGCCAGCCGAAGGAGGTCGTCCCAGCAATGCTGGCGGGGCTCGAGGGTGCGGCGCGGGCCGCCGTGGTCGAGGCCGCGAGCGACCGCAGGTGCTCCGGGAAGGAGCCTCCTCCTCCTCCTCGTCCTCCTCCTCCTCCTCTTCCTCCTCCTCCCCCTCCTCTTCCTCCTCCTCCTCCTCCTCCTCCTCCTCCTCCTCTTCCTCCTCCTCCTCCTCCCCCTCCTCCTGCTACTGCGTAAGAGTGACCTTTCGCCGGAGTGACCTTTGGTGCGGGCACACTGGGGTCCCCCTATCGCTGAAATCGATGCGATTGCAGCGGCTTTCGCGCTCACGATTGCCCCTCCCCCACCCCCTCGCGCCCACCTAAAGCTGCGCACCGAAGGTCAACCTTGCCTAGGGTCACTCTAACGTGCAGCCGAGGATCAGTCAGAGTGAGGGGGCCGAGCGCCCTGCGACGACGACGGACGACGACGGACGACGACGACGACGACGACGACGACGACGACGACGACGACGACGACGACGACGACGACGACGACGACGACGACGACGGACGACTACGACGACGACGACGACGACGACGACGACGACGACGACGACGACGACGACGACGACGACGACTCCGACGCCGGCGCCGACGCCGACGCCGACGCCGATAACAACGAGGACGACGATGGCGACGGACGCGACGGACGACGACAACGACGACGACGACGACAGACGACAGACGACAGACGAAAGACGACGGACGTCGACCAGGACGACGACGACGAAGGCGACGTCGACGGACAACGATGATGACGACGACGATGACGACGACGACGACGAACGACGGACGACAGACGACAGACGACGACGGACGACTACGACGACGGAAAAACACGGCGCTGACGACGGGCGGAAATTTTTGCACAGTCGCTCCGCGAGTGCTGGCCCACCACGCCCCGGCGCGACACGCTGTCCACGTCGCGGTCCCCAGGCGTCCACGGTGCGAGCTTTTCTGAGCCTCCCGCCCCACGGAGCTGAGCGGCACGCTATCCTTGGCATCGCTCGGACGTGTGCATTTTTCCTTCGGCGAGGACCATCAAGGAGCATCCTTGATGATTCGGCGAAAAAACCACGCACGAAACCGAAAAAAGCACAGGGAATGGACGTCCGAGCGATGGCCAGTATCCGCTTGCAGCACACGGCGTGTCGCTGGGGGCAGCCGCGGTGCCATGCGAAGTACAAGTTGCCGACGGTGCAGTCGGGGCGCTGGAGAAGGAACCCTTTTCGTTGGGGAGGGGCTCAGTGTTCCTTGATTGTTTTACAGTTTGCCTTGGGTTTTCCTTAGGTTGTCGGTGGGGAGTCGAAGTTTAACTTGTGGGAAAGGGGGGCCTCGTTCCTTATGTAGGGTTCCTTAGGTCAAGGCCCCGACTGAAAGCCGTCACTGGGTGCGTGGCGCGGTCTCTGCCAGTTTGTTGTTGTTGCTGCTGTTTGTCGTCGTCGTCGTCCTCGCCCGCGACCTGCCCGCGACCCACCCGCCGTGCTTTGACAACGATTCGGCGCTTACGGCGGCTCGTGGCGCAGTATAAATCAACCGCGCCTGCGGTGGGCTTATTCAGAGCCTCGCAGACTACGGACGACCCTGCCGCACCCTCACTCCAATCCGCAACTGCGAGGGCCATGGTATGACTGGCACACACGTCGTCCTTCGAACTGTTCGTGTTACTTGTTCCGTTCCTTGTGTACCTCATTCACTTGACAGTAGCATGTTGATGGGCTCATCCGACCAGCGTGGCCTTGCTACCTGTACTGCTTTTCAGGCTCCCCGAGACCATGACAACGGCGAACCAGGACATTGCAATGTCGGTGAAACGACACCTGTTCCTGCAAAGTCCGATTTTGATGTGCAGTGCATTGTGTTTGGCTGCGCTGCAGGATTCGAGCCTGTGTCTGGGTCTGGGGGCAGGGGTGCAGGCTTTGAGGTCTGCTGTCCAAGGTTATTCCGGATATGTTGCAGTGCAGTTTGTGTTTCTTGTGCCGCCCTCTGGAAAAATAGTTTCGAGCGATGTTTGAGTTCCGGTCCAGCGCGTCCGAGTTTATGGGTCCCTGACCTAAAGGCCTCTTAGTTGGGGTCGGAGTAGATGGGCCCGACGGATCGCACCGCATCGCCGATGCATCGGCGATGCGGCTCGATGTGGAGCCCGCTTTTCTCCACGCCGACGCTGCCGATGCATCGCCGACGTCGCCAGCGCATTGCCGATGTATCCTCGATGTATCGCCGATGCATTGGCGATGCGGCGCGATCCTCCGACCCCATCTGCTCGGACCCCATCTGGGAGGCCTCTGGGACCTGGGCTCCGGAGGTCCTGTGCTCTGCGAGGTCTATGGCATGTCCTCTGCGAGGTCGTGCCGCCCCCTGCACAAGAAAATAGCCTCGAGGGAGGTTCGCGTTCCCGTCCAGCGCGTCCGGGCTGGCGAGGCCAGGCCTGCGCTCCCCGAGGTCCTGGCCTGCCTTCCACGGCCCCCGCATCTCGTACACGCCGCTGCCGCGCGACGTCGCGGCGGAGAAGGCCGCGAGGGCCGCGGCGGCCGCGGCGGTGTGGCGCCGGGTCGCGAAGATCCGCGGGGTGCAGTGGGCGCAGGCTCGATGCGATCGCAACGGGCTCGGAAGAGGGTGGGGTGCTGAGACCTCGGCCTCTCTCGGGCGCGTGCATTCTTGCTCGGCGGGGGCCACGGAGGAGCATCTTCCGTCGTCTTGCGAAGTGCAGTGCTCTCTCGGCGAGGACCATCGAGGAGCACTTTTCATCATCTCGAGAAGCAGTACAGTCGGGGCCCTGAAGAAGGAACCCTTTTCGTTGGGGAGGGGCTCCGCGTTCCTTGATTGTTTCGCAGCTTGCCTCAGGTTTTCCTTAGGTTTTCGATGGGAGATCGAAGTTGAACTTATGGAAAAACGGGGCCTCGTTCCTTATTTAGGGTTCCTTAGGTCACGGTCCCGACTGTACACGCACGAATCTGCAAGCATGCATGGGGAAGCGGCGCCCGAGGGATGGCGGGGGACTGACAGCAGGCCTTGTCCACTCTGCACGGGGCCCGCTGCCGGTGCCGCCGCGGGCCTGTGTCGAAGAGGAGGAGGGGGCCCCCGGCGCCGATCCGAGAACGCCGCGCGGCGCTCCGGCAGCTTGTGCTTATGACGTACCGTCGGGGCGTTGACCTAAGGAACCCTAAATAAGGAACGAGGCCCCTTTTTTCCATTAGTTGAACTTCGATGCCCGGTCGAAAACATAAGTAAAGCCTGAGGCAAGCTGTGAAACACTTAAGGAACGCGGATCCCTTTCCCAACGAAAAGGGTTCCTTCTTCAGGGCCCCGACTGTATGTGTTGTTCCTCGAGCGCTGTCGGTGTGAGACAGGAGGCCGCCTGCCCAACAGAGGCCGGTGCTGATTTTGGACAGACTGTGATTGGGCATCGTGCCCATCTTTTCCGTTCCGGCCTCGAGCGTCCTTACAGGTGCAGCAGCGCCGCCCGGCCACGTCGCAGTGGACCGTCGCTGTCCTCGAAGAAGAGGCGCGGACTTGGGGCAACCTGGGGAGGGGGTGGGGGGATAGGCCCAGGGTTAAGTCGGGCCTGTCCTTCTACAGGAATATTCCAAAATAGTGGAAAATAATACGGGGACGGTTTTTTGAGCATTGTTTTCAATATTTCTGAGCATGTGTAGAATCTTTTTTTCTCGTCCAAAATCCCCCTGTAGGAGGTCATGCCCGACCTAAGCCCAGGGGGGCTTCCGTTTGGGGCGGCGTTTCGTGCGGTGAAGGCGCCGCCAGCCAGCCGGGGCTTGGGGCGGTTCGCGGCTCGAGGTTTTGGGGGCGTTTTCGTGGGTTCTTGGCGGTTCTCTGGCCTCTGGGTGCCTTCTTGCGGCTGCACCTCGCCGAGAGTTTTTCCCCGACCTGGCGGAGGGGTTCCCGTTTAGTGTCCCCCTGGGGGGGTCTGGGGGGGGACCCCCCGGGACAGGGCCCCGGCCACGGGCGGAACGCCGGCGGAACACGGCAGAAGACGGCAGAAGACGGCAGAAGACTGCACGACACGGCCCCGGGAGGCACGGACGGCCCCAAGATGGTTTACAAGATGGTTCAAGAAGGCCTCGAGTCGCCGAAAGATCGACTCAAGACGCTCAAGATGGCGCCCCGACGACCCAGGGAGCCCCACAGACGCCCTCAGAGGTCCCCGAGAAGCGTTCCAGCAGAGCACCGAGCCTCCCACATCAACAGTTTTCCTTTGGTTTTTGAAGTTTTTTTCGGTTTTCGCTTTTTCGGTTTCTCCCAGCTCAAAGACGGCCCAAGAGGCCCCAAAGATCGCCTCAAGACGGCCTCAGAGACATTCAAGAGAGCGCCCAGACGGTCCACGACGTCCTCAAGACGACCCAAGAGGCCTTCAAGACGGACTCCCAAACGCCCCAGGCACGCCCAAGAGGGCCCCAGGAGCGGAGGCAGGGGCCGATTCTTCGGGCTCCCCGCCCCAATAACCCCTCCAGAGGCCCCCAGAGGTTCCCAAGAAGCCCCCAAGAGGCCCCTAGGACCCCTCAATAGGCCCCACGAGGTCCCCAAAACGTTCCGAGCAGCCTCCAGAGTCCTCCAGCCCCCCCCCAGAAGTGCCAAAGATGGGCCCACTCGGAACACACGCGAACCAGTGTGATGCGCACGCTGGCTATCCTCTTCTGGGCTCGCATGGAAACGTGCTCAGACCATCCCGTGGCTCGCATGGTCGCGTGCTGAGCTCACCCCCTCCCTTCCGTGTGGCTCGCATGGACACGTGCTGAGCTCACATCGTAACTCGCCCGGTCGCGTACGGACCTCACCTCCAGCTTCATTTCCTCACACCCGTTATGTCACACCGCGCCCCTTCCCTTCCCTGTGGCTCGCATGGACACGTGCTGAGGTCACCTCGGAACTCGCATGGTCGCGTGCTGAGCTCACCCCCCCTTCCATGTGGCTCGCATGGACACGTGCTGAGCTCACATCGTAACTCGCCTGGTCGCGTACTGACCTCACTTCCAAGACGCACCGTCGCTACCTGGGCCACCTACTCCTCTAAAACCTCTCCGTCACTACCTCCAACGAAACCCGACAGCCACCAGGAGCCTCCAGAGCTCCCAAAGTGAATTTTCTTGCCCGTCGTCTGAATCCGCGCCCCCCTCCGTTCCCTGTGGCTCGCATGGAACCGTACTCCGGACACCTCATATCTCGCATGGTCGCTTGCTCACCTCCCCCTCTGCCTTCCATGTGGCTCGCATGGATACATGCTGAGCTCACATCGTACCTCGCCTGGCCGCGTACACACCTAACCTCCGGACAGCTAGGCCAGAGGAGCCCCCAGCGAACTCTCATATTCAGACGGACTCAACACGCCCGCACACGGCCCCCGAAATCCGCATGCTCTCCACTCCTTGCTCATGCAGTCAGAGACGACCCCCACCCAATCTCCGAGGACGTCCGATGGCCCCCTGAAGCCTCCAGAGCCCACCAACTCCCTTCCCTCGCCCGCCATGTCACCGCGAAAACGAGCACCCCCAAGGATCCGCCAATCCGAGCGCGTGCCCGAACATCCGCCACAGAACAAACGAGTACCCCCAAAGATCCGCCAAAACAAGCACCCCCAAAGATCCGCCAAAACAAGCACCCCCCAGGATCCGCCAAACCGAGCGCGTGCCCGACCATCCGCCACAGAACAAGCAAAAACAAGCACCCCCAAGGATCCGCCAAACCGAGCGCGTGCCCGAACATCCGCCACAGAACAAGCATCCCCACAGATCCGCCAAACCGGGAACCCCCAGGAATCCACCAACCCGAGGCCCCAAGAAGCGCCCAAGAGGCCCCCAAGAGGCCCCAATAGACTTCCAAAAACACCAGATGGGGGCCCAAAGCTGCAACCAAGAGGCCTCAGAACAGTCACCCAGAAGCCACCGAGAAACCAACCACGATTATACACATTTCTTCGTCGGAGGTCTTCCCCGTCGTCTAATCAAGCCCACAACAGGCAACTCCTTCCTTGCCCCAGCCACTCTCGCCAATCATCCCCACCTCCATTTTCAGGTCGGGGTTCGTGGCAATATCAGGTTTTTTTTTTTGGGGGGGGGGGGGGCGATCTTGCCGAAGGGCCGACGAAGACCCGAGTCATGATCCGAAAGCGAGACGAAGAGGATTTCTGGGGGGTGAGGTCCAAATGATGCCCCAAAACTGCCCCCAAGAGGCTTCAAAACAGTCTCCCAGAAGCCCCCGAGAGACCAACCACGATTATACAGATTTCTTCGTCGGACGTCTTCCCCGTCGTCTAATCAAGCCCACAACAGTCCACTCCTTCCTTGTCCCTGCCGCTCTCACCAATCATCCCCACCTCCATTTTCAGGTCGGGCTTCGTGGCAATATCAGGTTTTGGGGGGTGAGGCTCCGGGGGGGGCGCACCGACCCCCCATCGCCCGTGGATCGCCGATAAGGGGTTCGGTAGGCCACCCCGCCCGAGGACCGCGCGGTTTCGCGATCGGGGGCCCATCGCCAGTCCATCGGCGACGTATCGCAGAATTCCAGCTCGATGTGTTTCGGGCCGGACGAAGGGGGGGGGATTGGGAAAGGGGGGGGTACGAAATCTGCTGCACGCAGCTGGTTTCAGCCCCGCCGCCGGGCCCATTCCTCGATACATATGGGCGCCTCCGGCGCCGGGAGGCGCCGGGAAAATCAGCTACGTAAGCTGATTCTCAAACCCCCCCTTTGCTATCCCCCCCTTTCGCTCAGCTCGATGTGCTCTCCCCCCCGAACGTTTCCCCATCGTGGACGCCGCCCAAAGGGGGCCGAATTAGAGAGGGTCGTCGGACGAGGCCAGGACGAGGATGCATCCGTTCAAGAAGACCGCTCTCAGAGCGTCCCGGAACTCTCTGAGAAGGTCGCGGCGCCCGAGACATCCTCCAGAGCCGCTGGAGGCCAGAGATTCTCGACTTATCTGTACCTGAAATTATCTTCGTCTTTGGTAGAAAATCGTGGGAACCTGGTATACTTTCTTGCTTCCGTCTTTAGCGTCGACCAGCGTCGATTGGCGTCTTGGAGCCGGTGAGATAGCGCCGATTTAGCGTCGATGTAGCGTCGATCAGCGTCGATCTAGCGTCGATCAGCGTCGATTTAGCGTCGACCAGCGTCGATTCGCAAGGGCCAACAAGATTGTATGGGAGGCTCCCATGAGTTGCCACAGCACTCGTCCTGACTTAGTCCTAGGTCGTAAGATCGCACCGCGTCGTCGAATGGGGACTACAGTCGGGGCCCTGAAGAAGGAACCCTTTTGGTTGGGGAGGGGCTCCGCGTTCCTTCAGTGTTTCACAGCTTGCCTCAGGTTGCCCTTATGTTTTCGATAGGAAATCGAAGTTCAACTAAAAAGGGGCCTCGTTCCTTATTTAGGGTTCCTTAGGTCAACGCCCCGACTGTACGGGCTTCGAAGGATCGACCCGCGTCGCCGAGGCATCGGCGAAGCGGCCCCGATCCTCCGGCCCCATCTGCTCGGGCCCTCGCTGGGCGGCGCGGGAGCCCCGGCGATCCTCCTGACGTGTGCTACGTAGCCCCATGGATCGGGGGTAGGAGGAGGAGGAGGAGGAGGAGGAGGAGGAGGAGGAGGAGGAGGAGGAGGAGGAGGAGGAGGAGGAGCATCGAGGATCGAAGAGGTCATGGACGGAGGTTCGAGGAGCGAGGATCGAGGAGGAAGGGAGGATCGAGGGTCGCGGATCGAGTAGGAGGGAGGTTTGGGATGCTGGTCCTTTCGGAGGTGGATAGACCTCCTACCCTGACACGTCGATTCAGGAATTGGCCGTTTTTGGTTCGCGAGAGGGCGTCGCAGCGCCTTTTTGCGGGTCCAGGTCCGTCGGTTTCGGTCCCAAGCCGCTTTCACTAAGGGGAGGTCTGCTAATGGAGGTTTGTCCACCGCCGAATGGAGGCCCAGAGATCTGACGCTCCAAAATTTAATTATTGGAGCGGCGGGTTTTGGCCGTTTCCGGCCTCCGGGGGCCCTCGCCGAGCCTCGGGACCCTGAAAAAGCGATTCAGGTAGAAAAACCAACCCTGGGGAAGTGGTCCAGACATTCAGGGCCCACGCATCGAACAAACAAAATGGAGCGGCCGGATGTCTGGGGACGACACACGCGCCCGCGACCGCCAGCGTTGCCGACTTTCGGCGGCGAGCGAGGGGGGTGAAGTGAGAAGGGGCGGGACTTCTCAGAAGGCTCGGAGGTCCCCCCGGCCTTGTGAGAAGTTTTCTAAGCCTTCCCCGAAGACGCAGAAAACTTCCCAGAAGGCGCGAGGGCTTCTGTGAAGTCCCGCCGCCTTCTGAGAAGGCCTTCTCCTTCTCACTTCCCCTCGCTCGCCGCCGAGACTTCCGCATCCTGAGTGTGTATAGCCTGTCCTCCCGGCTGCTCATCGTCGAACTCTTCGACGTCTGAGCGTCCCTTCTTCCTCTCGGCCGTCCCCCACCCCTCTTTGCTCGCCGGCCACTTTGCTAGTTGGTGCCCCTGTCTAGCTTCTCGCTGGAGCGGAGTTCACCGCCTCGCCGCTGACGAAACAATCAGGAGGGAGCAAAAACACACAGACACAATGAATCGTCGATTCCCAGGAATATATGGGAAAGTATGGGAAGTGGAGGGAAGACGACAACCCAGAATCTATATATATATATATATATATATATATATATATGTAGGGGATCCGGTCATGTGTGTCTATTTGCTTGTGTGTCCCAGGGCCCCTCGAGCACAGCCTGTCCTGCTGGAGAGCCTGTCCTGCGCCGGCCCTCGCTGCGCCGTCGCACTGAAGGGCTCTCCCGTGGACAGGCACACGCTGGTGCCGTACCGCACGTCCTGAAGGCTTGGCATCGCTCGGACGTGTGCATTTTCTTCTCGGCGAGGACCATCGAGGAGCATCCTTGATCATTTGGCGAAGAAACCACGCACGAACGTGAACAAAAACACAGGGCATGGACGTCCGAGCGATGGCGAGAGGGTCACCGAGCCCAGATCCCGACGTCATGATTTGTCATACCCAGGCCGTCCTCGAGGGTTAAAAATAGCACCAGGACGTCGACATCTCAAATACAGTAGTCCAGATAGGTCTGTAGGTCTGGAGGGCTATGTCTTAAGACTCTCAGGGCAATTACCATGGACCCCCAAAGGCCTCGACCCATTCCCCTGGTCGTTGCTCGTCGGGCCCGAGGCCTGGCAAGGGCCCCCGGCGGCTAAAACGCCCGTCGTGGTTGCGTCATGACCCGAGGGGGTCTGGGCGAGGCGGCACTGGCGCTGGCCAAGCAGCGGCAGCAAAGGTCCTCGCAGCAGCGCGGGGCCGAGCACCACCGGAGGACCCGGCGGCGGCGGCGTCGGGGACGACGACGACGGCGGCGAGGAGGACGGCGGCGGCGGCGTCGACGACCGCGGCGGCGAGGGCGACGAGGACGGCGGCGGCGGCGGCGGCGGCGGTGACCACCGCAATGGCGACGAGGGCGGCGGCGGCGGCGGCGGCGGCGGCGGCAACGACGACGACGACGACGACGACGACGACGACGACGACGACGACGACGACGACGACGACGACGACGACGACGACGACGGCACCGCACCGCTGGAGGACCGGCCAGGGAGCACCGGCCGACGGGGCCCGCGAGGCGGGGCCGCAGCTCCTGGAGCTGCCGCCCGCGGCGCGAGGCCGCGGCGGCGGCAGCCGCAGCACCAGCCCCCGGCTGGACCCGGCGAAGCGGGCCCTCAGGCTCAGCCACGGCCAAGGGGAAAGAACGATTCAAAAATTGGTTTTCTGATTTTTGTGCACAATTTTCTGACTGGGGGAGAACGATGAAAAAAATAAGTTTTCCTGCCCGCGGCCGGTTTTTTCTAATCGTCATCCCGGGCGCCGCCGCGTGAACACGACCCCCGGTCATTTATTAATCGTCATCCTCAATTACTTGAAGCTCCTGGGGGCCCTCACGGGGCCTCGGGACCGTCACATAGCGACTTGGGACAGAGCACGACCGTTCCCCTGGAATGGGTCCAGGTCTCCAGGAGTCCACGTCGGGAAAAAATCATGCCGTCGGGGCTTCTGGGGAGGGGGGTATAGGGGGAGGGGGAAGTCTTCTCAGAAGCACCCCTGCTTCCGAGAAGGCGCAGGCTTTTGTCCGTAGATGTAAGACCGGCGCCTTCTGATAAGCAGCCTCCTTCTGAGAAGGCTTCCCCCCCCTACCCCCCTTTGCGCGCCGCCAGCAGGCCTTTCAGCCCAGACATCCGGCGCCCCCCAGAACATTGAGGGGCGGGTTTTGGTCGTTTCTGGCTGGGGGTCCTCGCCGGGCCTCGCCTTCGAGGATCGAAGGAATTGTGTTTTTTCCGCGGCGGAAGGCGGCGGAAGGTCGGCGGAAGGTGGCGGAAGTACAACGAGGCCGCCTCCGCTTGCGGAAGCCGGCGGAAGGGCGGCGGAAGGTGGCGGAAATCACAGATGCGCCCCCAAGAGATGGAAATGTTGTTGGGTTCATGGTTTCAGAAATCCGCAACATGCTTCCGAACTGCTGGATCTCAGAGACTTCCGATGTATCTCTGTCCCCTTATGGCCCCTATCCTTAAGGCGGGCCTGTCCCTCTACAGGAGGAATGCTCAAACATAGTAAAAACAATAGTCTGGGGACGATTTGTTTACCATGTTTGGATATTTTAGTGTAGTTTTGTTGGGTTTTATGGATCGTTTAAAATTCCCCTGTATGGGGGACAGGCCCGACTCAACCCTATCCTGGCTTCGTCTTGCGCTGCCCTTCAAGCCAGCGCAAGACGAAGCCAGGATAGAGAGATCAGATGCGCCCCCAAGAGATGAAAACGTTGTTGGGTTCATGGTTTCAGGAATCCGCCACATGCTCCCGGATCTCAGAGAATCTTCCGATGTATCTCTGCCCCCTGATGGTCCCTGTCCTGGCCTCCTCCTGCGCTGCCCTTCCAGGCAGGGGGCCAAGCAGAGGCAGCTCAGCCGGCAGCGCGACCGCGACGCCAAGGCCGAGCCGTGACCGGGGCGGGCCACGGGGCTCCGCCGCCCGCCTGGGGCGCTGCTGGAGCAGCCTCGTCGGCCTGCTCCTCCTCCTCCTCCTCCCTCCTCCCCCTCCTCCCTCCTCCTCCTCCTCCTCCTCCTCCCTCCTCCTCCTCCTCCTCCCCCTTCTCCTCCCTCCCCCTCCTCCTCCCTCCACCCCCCCCCCTCCTCCTCCCCTCCTCCTCCTCTCCTCCTCCTCCTCTTCCTCCTCCTCCTCCTCTTCCTCCTCCTCCACCTCCTCCCCCTGCCCCTCCCCCTTCCCCGGCCTGAGCGCAACAAGGCATCATCAGAGACGTCCTTCCTGCGCCGTCCTCCCCTCATTCAGACGGAGCCTCTGGCGAGCAGGCCTAGGAGGGGGGGGCCTCCGCTTCATCCTCTTCTCTTTGGGCCGCCCTGCATCTTCTCGAGCGAGCAGCACCCGACGGAGCTCAGCACATCGCTCATGCCACCGGCCGACCGGCCGTCCTGCCCTGCTCCGCCGCCTCCTGCCGTCCCTCGAGACATCCAGCGTTATTTGTAAGCGCCGTGGCGCCCGGCGACGGCGGGGCAGGCGAATGCAGCAAGGCGAGGGGCCGAAAGGGGGAGGGCGAGGGAGCCCGAGCCCGAGGGTCAAGCAGTGGCGAAGCGTTCTGGCTCGCCTGTGGCCCTACCAAACAATGTTCTCATAACCTTTCGTGGTTTCCACGGAATGTTCTTAGAACATTTCTGGCGGAGTCCGTTTTGTTTTATCACATCGGGTTGATGTTCTAAGAAAATTGTTTTTGTTCTTAGAACATTTTGGGGTTCTACGAGCATTTCGTGGTAGGACTATAGGAATGCCGGGACGGTTGGTCCCTGCTCAAGAGGGGAGGGCGAGCGAGCGTTGCACTATGGAGGTTTCTTGGGCGATCTTGGGGCGACCTTTGGGGCCTCTTGGGCCGCGTTGGACCGTCGGAAGGCCGAAACGATGCAAGTGCCCAAATCATTCGAACGATCCAAGCGAAATGCATGATTTTGACCTCGGGGCCTTCCTGGAGGACCTCCTGGGGGCCTCGTGGGCAGTCTTGGAGGCCTCTTGGGGGCGTATCGGAGCGTTTTGGGCCAAGCCAGCTTGGGCCGTCAGGGTGGCTTCTTGGACAGACTTGGAGCATCTGGGACCCTCTTGGCCTGTCTTTGAGACCATCGTGGACCATCTCTGGTGGACTTGGAGTCCATCTTGGCCGTCTTGGAGGCATCCTCTTGGGCGCCGTTTGGTGAGTCCCGGGCCTCCATGGGGCGTCTTGAGGGCTCCTTCAGGGTCCCCATCGTGGCTGCAGGGTGCGAGCGGGCTTGCGTGCGAGCTGGCGTGACAGCGCATGCATTCAACATCACGGCTGTGTTCCCTCCTTCGTCCGCCTTTCCTCGATATTCGTGCAAGTGCTCCGCCACCAGGCGTGACAGCGCGTGCATTATGTATCAAGGCAGCTTGCTCTCCGTCCTCTGTCATTCCTTGCTCCGCCAGCTGGCGTGGCAGCGCGTGCATTCTATTTCAGGGCAGCTGTTGTCCCGTCAGACGCGCTCGCGCACGCACGACTCGGAGACGCAGCCCCGCCTGGCGGCGTGCTTTCGCGTCCTGCTTCGGGACACGATCCAGGACTCCTCCTCCTCCACCTCCTAATCCTCCTCCTCCTCCTCCTCCTCCTCGTCCTCCTCCTCCCCCTCATCATCATCATCATATCCCTCTCCTCCTCCTCCTCCCTCTCCTCCTCCTCTCTCTCCTCCTCCCCGTCCTCCTCCTCCTCGTCCTCCTCCTCCGCCTCCTCCTCTCCTCCTTCCCTCCTCCTCCTCGTCCTCCTTCTCCCTGGTCCGCCCCTCCTCCTCCTCCTTATCCTCTCCCTCTCCCCCTCCCGCCCCTACTGCTCCACTCTTCTTTTTTCTTCTCCTCCGAGCAGATGGTGCACGCGCCGCCAGTGAGGAAATGTTCGGTGCTGGGCTGCGGCAGCGGTGGCTGTGACGATGGCGGCCCCTCTGGCCCCAGACGTGCGATGTCCAGACTCATAATAGTACGGACTCCCCAGAAGTCCCCACCCTTGCTCCGAGGCCGATGTTGCATCCCGCGCTGCGTTTGGACGGTCCTGGGGCCCGGCGAGGGCCCCCGGGGCTGGCGTTGCATCCCGCGCCGCTTCCTGGCGGTCCCGGGGTCCGGCGAGGGCCCTGGGGGGCCGAGAGCGGCGAAAGGCCGTCCGTCTTGATATTGTACGACGCGGTGGCAAAAGCATGTGCGCGCGCCGACGCCGCACGAACCAGCTGTAATTCTAAGCAGGGTGGTACGGTCCGACGACCGAGGTATAAGATCGAGGTCGGTTCGGGGAGGATCCCCCAGTTTGCCCATGTGTTTGTTGGTTGCTCTTGTGCATCCTGGAGGAGGGCACCCTCGAGTGATCTTTTACGACGCGAGCATCTCAAGGGCGGCTGGCCGATGGCGATTCCTCGGGCTACGTCGGAGCTGGGAACCCTGAGATCCTGGCGATGCAATTTTTTATAACCGGCGTTTCCGCTTCATTTCGGGCCCCAGCACCCTCACAGATCGATCCGGCTCGCAAAATGACGCAGACAGATGAGGTCCGGGGCTCCGGGCGCAATTTTTCGCTATGTTGTACTTTTCGCAACGTCGTTTCTCACTCAAGGAAAATGTGAGCGACGCAACGGGGTCGTTTGCGCCGACATTGGCGTTGGCGCGTACGCTGCCCGCGTGAGGTCGCGCGTAAGCGCCCTCGTTTCCAGTGCGGCGTGTCGCGCTGGCTGCCCGCGCAAGCCGCCGCGTAAGGTCGCTACGTCATCTCGCGCAAAACCCGTTTTCTGACTGTTGCTCATGAGTCGCCGCGCCGTTTGTTCCCACGCGCGGCGTTACGTCCTGGGAAGGGTGCCGCGGACACCGGGGCAAAATCCGCCTCGGACGCACGGTTCGCCGTGGGGTTTACCACGGCGTCCGCTCCGTCTGCTTGGGCGCGCGCAGAACAAACGGCGCGGCGACGTGTCCATTACAGACAGTGCATATAAGTTTGTCAACACTTGCCGCCCGGAGAACCATCCTGAAAATTACTCACCATGCATATGGCACTTCTGCAAAGCCCCAGGGCCCAGATACCTTTGTGTATATACGCGCAGTTCCCTTGGCATCGTTCGAACGTGTGCACTTTGCTTCCGGTGAGGATCATCGAGGAGCATCCTGGATCATCTTGCGGCACGGAGCCGAGAAATGTACAGACAATTGACGTTTTAGCGATGGCAAGTTGCCACTGCACCCATCAGAAGCCTTAGTTCCCTGGACTCCAGATTTCGCTTCAGATCATCAAGAATCTGGGCTGGACCCTGGGCGCTCTCTTGGAACCTCTTTTTGCATAGCATGCTTGTACATCTGGAGCTGGACTACTGCTGAAGAAACCGCTTCGAGTGAAGTCCAGTCTCGTAGCCTCGAATGTTCTTCACTCTAAGCAGGGGTGTTCGTAAATCTAAGCAGGCTCGTACGGTCGGACGACCGAGGTATAAGATCGAGGTCGGTTCGGGGAGCATCCCCTAATGCTCTCTGTGTTTGTTGGTTGCTCCTGTGCATCCTGGAGGAGGGCACCCTCGAGTGATCTTGCATGCTTTGGGGTGCTTCGGCCGGCAGAGGGCCTCACGTTCTTGCAGGATGCTCTTCTGCCTTAGAACCTACGTCGTACACGCTCTGCCGCCGCCGCGGCCCTCGAGTGATCTGATGGTTCGGGGTGCTTTGGCTGGCAGAGGGCCTCGTGTTCTGGAAGGGCGGGGCGATCTTCTGTCTTAGAACCTCTGCCGTACGCGTTCGGCCACCGCCGCGGTCCACGGGTGATCAGATTGTTTGGGGTGTGTTGGCCGGCGGAGGGCCTCATGTAGGGGAACGAACAATGCTATAAACGTAACGGTTCTGAAATTCGCGCGGACCTCCGAGTTTTTCACTTTATGTCAACTGTTCGTTCCCCTATCATGTTCCGGGTGGGTGTTCTGTCACAACCTCGATCCCCAGAGGGGTGGACCCCCCTTTCCTGGGACCGGCTTTTCGTCCTGAGCTGTTTTTGTTGACGACCCCGAGGCCCGTCAACCGAAAAAATGGCGACAACCTCCCGCCGTGGTGTTGTATGTGTGTGACAATTCGAGGGGGGCTTGGCTTTCCGGTCTGAGAGCCTCTGCCGCGCACGCCCCGCCGCCGCCGCGGCCCTCGATCGACCCCGCGCCAGGCGCCGCCCCGAGCCGCCGTGCGCCCCGCGGCTGCCGCGGCCGCCCGCCCGGGCAGCCGCGCCGGCAGCGACATGGCCGGGGAGGCCCGCGCGGCGATGGGGCTCCCCGAGCGCGCTGCACTACTCGCAAAGCGCCTACTCTCAAAGGAGGAAAAGCCACCCCGACCGGACAATTGGCGCCTGCTGAACGGCCCTGGGCGTTTACTAGACAGCCCTGCCCTGCTTGAGTCCTTCCTTGGGCGCGCTTACTGAACGGCTTCGCGTGTCGGGGTGGCTATTACGGGGGTCGATGTTTTGCCCTCTACACTCGCAAACGTCCGAGAAGGCAGGTCCTCAGCGTTGTCATGGATCGTACAGATCTCCCGCGGCGGATATCCAGGCCATCTGCGAGCAGTTGCTTGGCGAGGCAGTGGCACGCGCTTGTCTAGGGGCGGGGGCCGTCGGCTGCACCGGGCCACGCGCAGAGGGGAGCCGTCAGCTGGTACTCTGAGAGGCCCTCGGTCCCCCAAGGGTCTTTGGCCGTTTCCAGCCACCCGTGGCCCTCGACGGGCTTCGGGGCTGCCAGCAAAACTCGGGCCGGACGAAAGGGGGGGGTTGGGAAAGGGATGGGGTACGAAATCTGCTGCACGCAGCTGGTTTCGGCCCCACCGAGGGGCCCATTCCTCGACACATGGCCGACTACGGCGCCGGGAGGCGCCGGGAAAATCAGCTACGTGAGCTGATTCTCACCCCCCCCCCTTTGCTATCCCCCTTTCGCCTGGCCCGA